TCCAAGATTTTTAGAAAATACATTTTTTGCCTCTGCATTTGTGGTATCGCATCCTGTTGACACATGCAGCGCTGGTAAACATTTATAACCTTCATATTCCAGTTTCTGCACTATTTATTGGAATGATCCGTTTTTTATTCCCTTGTCCTAATTCCATAAAAAGGTAGGTTTCTTTCAAAGAACTTACTTCAATAAATTCAGAATAGTGGTGAATAAGTAATACCAGAACATTTGCATCTGCAGACTTCACCGACATTTTTTTTTGGTGAAGTATCTGATATTCATATAAGACGTGGATTATAAGTCGTGCATCAGTCTCATCATGATTTGATTTCAAATCTTTCAAATCTTTCAATTCGGTTACACGGTTACACCATCCTTGTTGACAGAAAAGTATAACTCTGGATTTTCAAAATCACCAGCGATGATCAGAGTTTCTTCTATTTGTCAGTTAAATGTTCCAAAACATAACCAGTTACAAATTTCAATAGGGATTCTTCATTTTCTGACAATTTTAAAAAATTTCGAAACTTCATCACTTTTCTCTTTCCAGAAACTTCATACGCATACGTATCTGCGAAGTTACTTCTTCTGCGTCTTTCCAAAGACTTGACCGATTCATCTATTAAAAACCACCGTTATCCTCAGTGCTTCATACCTTCGACAAAGTGAAAGAATTTGCTTTAGAAAAATACATGCGAGTTCATTAAAAGTTAAGTTGAAAATGCTTTATCATTTAGTCCTTGAATAAGTACCATGCCATCTATTATAAGTGAATTGAAGTTTTAGTGCGAAAAAATCTAAGAACAAATATTTGAACCGCATTTTGCTACGATGAACCGTTTTCGAGTATAAGGGTGGTTCAAAGTGACAAACGCCTAGGCTGTGACGTCACACTGGCTTTGGAGGCACAGTTAAAATATGTGTAAAATTTTCCAAGACAAAAGTCAACGATCTCACTCAAAGCAAATTGCAACCACTTAAAGTATAGGGCACGGTTCAACCACTGAACAAACAGAAGGCTATGATTTTGGCGGTTAGCCGGTGTGACGTCACAAGTTCCCGCAAAATTTATTTTCATGAAGAATTTTCTCGGATAGTATGGTGAATGAAAGACTGCGGTTTTCACGGGAGATCTTAGATTTTTTTTCTTGATTTAAGTAGCTTAAGTTGCTTTTTTTAGTCACACCCTTGTTTAACATCGGTTCGAAGAGCAGCGACTGTTCAATATGGTTCAAACTTTGATAATAAATCAGACTTAGCTGTTTTTCGCATACGAACGCACAAAACTGGAAAAGTCAGAAAATGCACCTCTCGGTGAATGCACGAATAATTCCGTCGCGACGCGGTTCACGATGGGCTGAGCGCACTCCAGAGCTCTTGGATAAAAATTCATATTTCTATAACCGTTAAAGTTAGCGCCTTAATTTTTTTTTTAAAACTTCGTCAATGTTTTAACTACATTTGATTCGATATATATGTATAGAAATTTTCAATAATACATGATAATACACATTGCTCGCCGCAGGGTGAAGTTTAAAATGCACCATTTTGATAATTCTATATTCCTAACTTTTTAACAAAAAAACCTTACACCTTTTCGAAATTTCTGAACTGTCATTAGAAGCGCTCATGTTTCAAGTATAAGTGTGCAAAAAATCAGAATTTTAGATTGTATGCTTTAATTAATACAGCGGGTAATGTTCAGAAAAACGTAGTTTTTCAAATTCGAGCTCAGTCACGTTTAAGGGCCGATTTCAAAGTTCAGTCCTACTAAAAAAAGTTGTACATTCCCATTTCCTATGCCCCAGAGTGTCCTCTACAAGATGATATAGGTTTCATCTGGTTATACCTTGGAATCACTCAAAGTCATAATTTAATGTCGTGGAAGTTAGCCACAGAATCAGAAACGAAAATCAAATTTTTACAGTCGTCCAAATAAGTAGTGCAAATTAATGTGTAATTATAAATAGTAGGTAATTATTAGCTTTGGTGGTCAAAATTTAGAATATTTTTTGTGAGAATAGGTACTAGGGTGTACCCTCTTTATAGATAAGACTTTGAAATTCCGCCGGAGGGATGAAAAAACTAAATTCAACCCTACTATCAAAGTCTATTGGAAATTGGAATGAATACATACCTACTTCTACAAAAATCTCTGTAACACCACCAAACTTTTTTTGGAATACTCTTTGAAACGTTGATAATAATAAAATACCAAAATAACTAGTGTGCGACGGGGTTGCAGGGGGTGGATTCAAACCCAAAGATAGAGAAAAAATACTAACTTCTGAAAAAAATTTTGCTACATCACCAAATATTTTTAAAAATGTTCTTTAGGACGTAACTAATCATAAAATCCCAAAATAAAAAGTGCGCGATGGAGCTGAAGGGGGTAGATTCAACCCCAAAGATAGGGAAAAACTACTAACTCCTGAAAAAAATTTTGCTACACCTCCAAATATTTTTAAAAATGTTCTTTAGGACGTAACTAATCTAAAAATCCCAAAATAAAGGGTGCGCGATGGGGCTGAAGGGGGTAGATTCAACCCCAAAGATAGGGAAAAACTACTAACTTCGGAAAAAAATTTTGCTACACCTCCAAATATTTTTAAAAATGTTCTTTAGGACGTAACTAATCTAAAAATCACAAAATAAAGAGTGCGCGATGGGACTGAAAGGGGTAGATTCAACCCCAAAGATAGGGAAAAACGACTAACTTCTGAAAAAAATTTTGCTACACCACCAAATATTTTTAAAAATGTTCTTTAGGACGTAACTAATCTAAAAATCTCAAAATAAAGAGTGCGCGATGGGGCTGAAGGGGGTAGATTCAACCCCAAAGATAGGGAAAAACTACTAACTTCTGAAAAAAATTTTGCTACACCACCAAATATTTCTATAAATGTTCTTTAGGACATAACTAATCTAAAAATCCCAAAATAAAGAGTGCGCAATGGGGCTGAAGGGGGTAGATTCAACCCCAAAGATAGGGAAAAACTACTAACTTCTGAAAAAAATTTTGCTACACCACCAAATATTTTTAAAAATGTTCTTTAGGACGTAACTAATCTAAAAATCTCAAAATAAAGAGTGCACGATGGGGCTGAAGGGGGTAGATTCAACCCCAAAGATAGGGAAAAACTACTAACTTCTGAAAACAATTTTGCTACACCACCAAATATTTTAAAAAGTGTTCTTTAGGGCGTAACTTATCATAAAATCCCAAAATAAAAAGTGCGCGATGGAGCTGAAGGGGGTAGATTCAAACCCAAAGATAGGGAAAAACTACTAACTTCTGAAAAAAATTTTGCTACACCACCAAATATTTCTAAAAATGTTCTTTAGGACATAACTAATCATAAAATCCCAAAATAAAAAGTGCGCGATGGGGCTGAAGGGGGTAGATTCAACCCCAAAGATAGGGAAAAACTACTAACTTCTGAAAAAAATTTTGCTACACCACCAAATATTTCTAAAAATGTTCTTTAGGACATAACTAATCATAAAATCCCAAAATAAAAGGTGCTCGATGGAGCTGAAGGGGGAAGATTCAAACCCAAAGATAGGGAAAAACTACTAATTTCTGAAAAAAATTTTGCTACACCACCAAATATTTTAAAAAGTGTTCTTTAGGACGTAACTAATCATAAAATCCCAAAATAAAAAGTGCGCGATGGAGCTGAAGGGGGTAGATTCAAACCCAAAGATAGGGAAAAACTACTAACTTCTGAAAAAAATTTTGCTACACCTCCAAATATTTTTAAAAATGTTCTTTAGGACGTAAATAATCTAAAAATCCCAAAATAAAGGGTTTATGATTAGTTACGTCCTAAAGAACATTTTTAAAAATATTTGGTGATGTAGCAAAATTTTTTTCAGAAGTTAGTATTTTTTCTCTATCTTTGGGTTTGAATCCACCCCCTGCAACCCCGTCGCACACTAGTTATTTTGGTATTTTATTATTATCAACGTTTCAAAGAGTATTCCAAAAAAAGTTTGGTGGTGTTACAGAGATTTTTGCAGAAGTAGGTATGTATTCATTCCAATTTCCAATAGACTTTGATATTAGGGTTGAATTTAGTTTTTTCATCCCTTCGGCGGAATTTCAAAGTCTTATCTATAAAGAGGGTACACCCTAGTACCTATTCTCACAAAAAATATTCTAAATTTTGACCACCAAAGCTAATAATTACCTACTATTTATAATTACACATATTAATTTGCACTACTTATTTGGACGACTGTAAAAATTTGATTTTCGTTTCTGATTCTGTGGCTAACTTCCACGACATTAATTTCATTGTGATTTTACTCCACTATAGGTTCCGATATCAACTGCCAGTACTGGATTTACTGTGCTGATTTTACTGTCATTTGTTGTTCCGATTTCAACAGCGTAACTCTTGTAGTCATTCAGTACTGAATCGACTGAATCCACTGTACTGAAAATAATATCGGAACGGCGTCCAGTAAATTCAGTACTGACAGTTGATATCGGAACATCATAAGCTTTATCGTTCTTCGAACTATACAAGCTTTTTTGAAAATTATCGGTAAAAAAAGCACTAGCGATTTTACACCATTTTTACCCCCGACTATTTATCAGTCCGGAGTCCGGCCCTTAAAATGCTGAGACCATAAACGCTGTATTTTACCAGTTGAACCAACGTATCAAAATGTATATCCATCCTTTTTTTCTTAGAATGTTGAACAAGGGTGATAGAAACCATTTGCTCTACCACCAACTGTTTAACTTCTACCGACCTTGGCGCTGGTTAAAGTCCCTGTTACATTAGTCGCAACTTGAGGTTTTCGGTTCTACTAAAATTATTATAGCCAATCACGTGCGTCATATTTCAAATTTCATAAAGCTATCGTTATCTTGCGCCGAATAAGTACAAACTAATCCAAACATTCCAAACCGAGCATTAGTGCCAAATTTCAAAAGACCAACCGACGTGGAACCTCCGGCAACACAAACGTCATCAAGTCGAGTTTGAGGTTAATTTTTGTTGGCTTCTTTTTTGAATTTTTGTTAATTCAAACTGTTTCTTTTTTCGAGGCACTTCTCAGTTCTTCTAACTCCTAAATTTTTTTAGTAAACATGTCCGGTCAGTGGGAAGTTGTGAAAGGGAAAAATGAACGTCGTAGCAAGGTTCCTGTACCAAAAATTGCTGTTAAACAGTCTGAAAACAAGTCCAAAAAACCGAACATTTTGAATGGAGTTAAAATCGAAGAAGTTTGTAAGTATTTTTGTATTAAATTTATTATCAGTTCCGGTCTTATTTCTTGATTTCAATATTATACATGATATCTATGCATTTGTTTTGTTTTCCAAGTCCAAATTGCATCAATTAGCTAAACATATTGCAGGATGTGGCATATAATAATTTCGTAGGTTCTAATTAGTTAATATTTTGTTTTCCCTTCGGTAATGATTATGAAGGATAATTGAACAGGTTCTGCAATACATTTTCCCTAAAACGTGCTTCACTTTACTAAAGTAAGTAGAATGCTCGGTAGAATGTCTACATTTTTAGAAGATTTGGTAGGTAATTTTTCAATTATTTGTGAAGACAGGACATAAACCTATTTCTTTTAAGTAAACTAATTCTCTGGTCTTGTATTTATAATTTGTTTTATGATTTGAATCGACTATTACCTCCATTACTTGTCTATTTACAAATCTCTCAATTACAAGTATACTCAGTCGATTTTAATCTGTTACTCCAAAGGAATGTGAGCTGGTGACCTGTTATTGCCATATGCTTGACTGTCTCGCTCCTCATACGGAAAGTGTCAGATGAAAAGCGACGGACAATACCTACATGTATTATTTATTTGTATATAAAATTTGAATTAAACTAACAAAAAGATTATAAACAAATCACTAGGCAAATAACGGAGCACTCACTTAAAACAATTATTTGTTTATTTCAGTATCAAAAACGCAAGTCCAAAATCTCTATTCAGGAAACAAAGAAAACAAACTACAAGAAAAAACCACTAAAGCAAATGATGTCAAGAAACCTGAGAAAAAGGCAAACAAAGCTCCTTCGGAACCGCAAAAACCTAAACCACCAAAGTCAATTGAAGCTGCACTATTAGCTGTAAATATTTTCACTACAAGTATCTACAATTTTTATAAATATAATATTTTTCTTTTAGATAAATCCTGATGAGTTTAGCTTGATCTATGAGCGTTCAAAGATCGCCTTTTCGGATGCACCTATTGTTTGGCTAAAAGAACTAACCCAGTTTTTGAACCAAAAAATACCATTGGAAATTCAAGATCCAGTTTTCTCCTCCAAGCCTTTTGGATATCCATTGAATGTGGTGAGTAGATTGGTTTGGGTGCTCTAAAAATGGAGTAGCAGCAAAATTTTGGAAAGCAAAAAATGATGATTTAGCTACAAAAAAATAATTCGATTTTGAATAATTTGTTAAGCAACTCTCAAAATTATTATATTATGAACAGTTTGCCCTCAAGTTTGTCATATTAAAAAATTCCTTACAAGAATTGAATATTTACTAGGCCACTAGTGCTTTTGGAGGGCGACTTGTTTTTCTTTTTTGTCCCATTGGTATGCCTTAGAATAAACAATCCTTGAGAAAATCCAATATTTAATTAACTATTCTCTCAGCTCAGGCTCTGTCCTAGAATGTCCTACCCATTATTGGTCAGTTTTGGGCCACTGCCACTCGTCCTGTCCTATTAAACAGATTTCGAAAGCTAGTTGGCTTGGCCCAGTAAACACATCTGTGACATTTACATAAAGTTTATATTGAGATTTTCTTTTACCAGCATTAGTTTTATGTGTTCGGGGTTTGCTAGTCGGGCGACTCCCTAGGTGGTGGATAATGAAAAGCCTCTCAGATATGAGTGGTACCGGGGAAATGAAATACCCAGGGATCAAAACTAGCATGATGAAAGGCAGCAGCGATCATCATTACCAACTCGTGACAATAAGGAAATGTAAAGCAAGTGCTAAACATGATAAAAAACAAAACTAGCTCAGGCATTGATGGTTTGTCCCTCGGTTTGTCCACCAAAGTCCTGCAGCATTTTCCAGAAGCTACTGTGTCAGTTCTTGTGGAACTCATCAATCAGTCAGGCTCTTGTTCTACCAATTCACCAAATTTGGCGACTTGGAGGACCCATCAAATTTCCGCCCTATATCATTATTATCTTCTCTTTCCAAAGTTATTCAGAAAATTGCTAAAACAAGAATTACCTCTCACTTTGCAAAGTTTAACATCGCACAATCTTAGTCTGGATTTCAACAAAAAAAAAGGCACGCATGACGCCATATTCGCTCTCTTGCAGGAAGTATATCTCAATATTAACGAGGGAGATTTGGTTGCGGCGGTGTTTTGTGATTTCTCAAAAGCCTTTGACTGTGTGAATCACAAAATACTGCTGCAGAAGGTGGGTCACTATGGCTTCAGGGGCTCTTCTGCAAGATGGGTGTTATTTTATAACACAGGCAGATCCCAGATAGTCAGCTGCAACCAATCTTTATCAAACAGTATAGAAATAACCCAGGGAGTGCTACAGGGATCTGTTCTCAGTCCTATTTTCTTCCTTGCCTATATTAATGATCTCACCTTTATCAACATCAATGGAAAGTTATGTCTTTGCTGATAATAGCACTATATTGTGGACAGGTAAAAGGCAAGCTTGAGGATGTGATTGAGAGTGATCTAAAAAGGGTTAAGGAATGGTGTGATGCGAACCAGTTATGTTTCAACATAAAAATAACTAATATTATCTCCTTTAGATTCTCCATAAATTCTATACACCTGAGTGACCAGCTTATTAAGTCCCATCAGAGTGTAAAGTTTCGTGGACTGGTGCTTGATAAACAGTTGGATTTTAAAGAAAATATTATCCAACTCAAACCTAAACTATCATCTGCCTGTTTTGCACTTAAAATAATTATTAAGGAGCTCAGCAAGGATGGTGTATTATGCTCTGTTTGAGTTTCGGGCAAGGTAGGGGGTGGCCTTTTGGGGTTACTGTTCCAAAACTAACTTTGACTCAGTGTTCCGAATTCAGAAGCGGGCTATTCGAATCTTGAGTGGAGCAGCGCCATGGGAACATTGCAAACCATTATTCAAAAAGCAAAAAATTCTAACTTTGGCTGCTATCTTTATACTAGAGTCTGTTTGCCTTATTCATAAAGGGCAAATAAATCCATATGCTGCTACTTATGCCCCTGAACGATCCACTAGGCAAACCGCAAACCAACTTATACCCCTTCCTATACCTAGACTAACTTTGACCAAGGAATCAGTAATTTAAGAACTAAGAACACATTTACGAAGTTGAAGAATGTTCTGCTTGCCCGTACTCTCCCAGAAGAACTACGTCTTCGGCAGGCCCATCCTCCTATATGGTGCAAAGACATGGTCAATAAAAGTAAGGACCCTGAACTAATCTACCATTTACGACTGTACTGTGAGTTTTCCATCTGGAAAATATTCTGATTAGATACGTCACACTTTCAAGAACATGCATTTTGTGAATTATTAGAGGCTATTCATTTATTGTCACATGACACACTAAAAAATGAAACCTGAGTTTATAAGGAAATAATATTTATGTAACTAATATAATTGTATTTATAATTATCTAAAGTTTAAATTATTCTGTAATCTTTTCTATTTTGCTGCTGATCCATTCTTTTTGTTGATTTCCGTAAGACTCGAAAAACTGCTCTAAGAACTTTAAGTAATGATAAAATTATTTTAGGTGCCATCAAACATAAAAGTTACCATAGAAAAAGCAGTAAGAGAAGCAGGAAAAGGCAACGCTCAATTATACTTTGATATTGCATTGACTTCATTAGTAACCGACTTAAGCAAGGGATTACCAGCTGTAGGATATCGTTTTTTCTTGCAATATATTGCCTTAAATGAGCCAAAGCTAGTTATTGAAAATCTTGGAAAACACATTTCACTTAGGAATTCATATCAAAACCGAGCCAATGTTGCCTTATCTGTGTTGTGGGCTGTTGGACATGTGAGTGTTAATGATTTACAGTCAGGATTAAAAGGTAAATGCACTTAATTTAAAATATATAACTTCTGTCTTGACAAATTCTGTTTTAGTTTTTGAAGATTTAATGCTGCCATTGCTAGATATGAAGAGTTACTCTAAATACATAGTTAAATATCTAATAGAGCTAACAAGTCAAGAACATGAATCCCCTTTGACAAGGGACCAATACCTCTTGATTTTGGACACGACTTTTTCCAGTAAGAAAAACTTTCCATCAGAACTTCAAAAGGATTTGATAGGAAATTTGCCAAAATTGAAAAGCCTATTGTTTAGTAATAAGGAGAAATTTAATAATTCGGTGGAACTGTTTCTTAAAAAAATCGCAGCCACCACAAACATACAATATCAAAATTGTCTTTGTGATATACTTGTGGAAATATTTACTAAGGACCAATCTACTCTAACTTCCTGGAATAAAGTTTATTCTAAAAACCTGCTGGCTAGTGCCCTGTTACTTAGATTTATAAGTAAGTTGAAACTTTCAATGTCATTTATTATTTTGTCTAACATTCTGTGCCTAAAACTTGTAGGTAAAACTGATATTAAATCTAATCTTAGAAAATCGTTGAAAGATTTGATGCTGAATTTTTCTACCACTAATGAAGAATTATTATTGAAAAGACGTAAAGGTGATGGACTGAGAGAAGCTATTGCTGCTATAAAGGTAAATTGATATTATTTGTGAACTCACATTAGTTCCGGTTAAAACGTTACCTGGAAATTTGGCTAAATAATTGTTTTTCAATAAAAAAAAAGATGCTTTTATGAAGGGTCTGATTTTCTAGGTATTTTTCCATGAATCTGTTAAACTGTGAATTTGATTTACCCATTGCAGTACATAATAGAATAGAATACTAGAATAGTAGTTTTTATTAGTGTTAAAAGTATGTATTTACAAAAGCTCCAGTGTTTTTTTTTAAGCAGTTTTAAGTTGGGTATTAAGTGCTTGTGTGGAAGAAAGTGTCACCTCACTCACCTCTAAGGATAGGTATATAAATAATCATCAGTGTTATTTATTGATAAATTAAGCAGTGAAACTCTAAAACAGATATAAGTAGGTATACTTTTCTTTCTCTAGACTGAAACATCACAAAAACAACCTTATAAACCTAAATAAGCAGTGATGAAATTCTTGAATGTTTAGGGAGATTTTGAAGTGAATATTGATTAACTTGAAAAAGCTGAGAATTCGGGAACGACGGGAACAGGACAAAATCTCATTGTATTGTTTATGAAGTGTTCAAGGAAGATGACGCCAGTTTGTTCTATTTCTATACAGGGTGGCCATTTGAAAACGAAACAGAGGTAATTTTGGGCGCCCAAAACATTTAAGAAAAAACCCTCGTACCAGTCGATTTTTGAATTGAAGGGAAACCATTTTTTGGCGTTTTTACCCCCTGCAGTGCAAAGCCCTATCGGGGGGATGAGGGCCCCCAAAATTTTAAATGGAATACCTTATTTTGAAGGTATTTTTATGTGGATTATAACCCCCGAGTTCAACATCGCTACCTAGCCATCACAGAAGCTAATTAAAGTTACAAAAACATGTTGGGATATTTTGTATTTAGAAAAATGCTTCAAAACCAAAATCAATCAAGTAAATGCTGTGTTGTTGACCTCCGACTTCCATACAATAATATAAATTTTGTTCAAACCGATCTCGTACGATTTGAAGTATTTGTGGGTTGATTTGACGGCATACATGAACTGTGGTTGTTGCAGGTCTTCCAAAGATATTGGCTGGGAACCCCTTGAAAAAAATATTTAATGGTCTTAAAACTGGGAAACGTAGAGAGGAGCTATTTTCTCTTGCGAATCCAATATTCTGAAAATGTTTGGTTTAAATATTGATGAACCACTACAGCATAGTGGGGTGGCGCACCATCTTGTTGGCATATTGGGCGGTTTTCCATGTATCAGTTATCATTCTCTAGTATCTCCACTAATGCTGGATGAATCGCATCTTCTAATAATTCTAGGTACATTTCTCCCGGTGAAGCTACAGAAGTAGCTATTTTAGGTCATGTTTTTCAACTGTTAAGATCCCACACTGAGTACAAGGAAGTTGTCGACCGTATTTGGTGTCCAAAGAAGCAGCATTCAGGTGATACAAAAAAACACAAGTTCCATCCCTATAAAATACATTTTTTAGGTACCTTAATAAACATAACGAAAACGATTTTGATAGGCGATTGTAATTTTGTGAAACTATGACTGAATACGCCATAAATGAGCAGCAGTTTATTTTCAATTTATGTTTCTCTGGCAAATGCTCTTTTTTCTTAAACGGTACGATGAATCGTCACAACTGTCGCAATTGGGCTAATTCAAATCCCAAAATATTTCTTGAGGTGCATACACAACATCCTGAAAAATTGACTGTTTGAGCTGGTATTTTTGCTAACCAAATAATAGGCCCCTTTTTTACCTATAAATTTAACAGGAGAAATGTACTATGTACTTAGAATTATTAGAAGATGCGATTCATCCAGAATTGGTAAAGAGTATTTCTTAAGGGCTCATTTGGAAACTCGTTTAAAAACTCAAATTTATGCGACCCAACCCAGCCAAATTCTTTGGAAGACATGCAACAACCAATAGTTCATGTATGTCGTCAAATCACCCCACAAATTTAATTAGATTTTTCGTTAAAGCGCTGTGATTAAAAAAGTAATTTTTTTTAATGGAATAACCTATATTTAAGTCAATTTTTTAAATGTCCCTATTTTTCTCATTTCAAATATATAGTTGGTTTATCTTCATTCTAAAAATTTGCGATATATTCTCACTTCAAAATTCACATAAAAATAGCCGAAAAGGTATCATAAAACATAATCACCAGCAGATGGTAGGTAAAATTATTTAGATTTACCTTGATACCTTTTCGGCTATTTTTATGTGAATTTTGAAGTGAGAATATATCACAAATTTGTGACGTCACGACCCATAGAAACACGTTTTTGATCGCGTCATGAATTTCGAATTATTTGGTATTTTCAATTGAAGATTTAGGACACCAGAGATATATTAATTTTTTTTCCTAATTGCATCATTTATTAGGATAATTGTTATTGTGTTTTATTATTTATTCCATATTTAATTTAATGTGCAAGTTCCCTATTGGCCCGTGTAATGGATAGTGGATAGGTAGATAGTAGGGCTGTTAAACTAGGGCCCTATAATCTACATAAAAATACCGTCAAAATGAGGTACCATCGTCACCAAAAATATCTGGGACACAAATAATGCATAATAATCTCCTGGACTAATTCTACTGTCATTCATTTCAATGCATTTGATTTATAGTTTGACAAATATTTGACAATAAAATTCATATAATAGGACAAGAGCTATGTGAAGCTGTCCCAGTTACTTTTGGTGACGATGGTACGTACATATCACTCGACCCCTAATTCCATTTAAAATTTTGGGTTCCCTTGTCACCCCTGCTAGAGCTTTGCCCTTCAGGGGGTGAAAATGCCAAAAAAATGGTTTTCATCAAAAATCGGCGGCTGTGAGGGTTTTTTCTTAAATCTGTTGAGGCGCCCAAAATTGACTCTGTTTCCTTTTCAAATAGCCACCCTGTATATAACCTGGAGTGTATTTTCAAGGCAGATAGGTATAGAGATAATGGAACTTTGGCAAGAATTTTTTTTCCTGTAGATTTAGGATCGTAAAGCTCTTGCCCTTCATTGGGAATCGAAAGCAGCAACAGATGCGAACAATGTGCCGTCAAGAGCAGAGTGATCAATGTGCCATCAACGAAAATAAAACTTTACCAGAATTAATGACTAAATTATCTCAACTAAATAGGTAGGTACCTACCTACATAAAGAACTTTCAGAAAAAGTTCTCTCTTTGGAACAAATATCTTATGATGGAAAGAGGAAAATACCCCCATTCGATTTTTAGAAATGGACTATCATGATTGATGCAGGAATAATTGACAAAAAAGAGAAGAGTGAAGTTTTTTGTAATCTTGGTGAACCAATGGAAAAATCGAAATTTGTTAAAAATGGTCATGATATCTATATGATCACAATTTGGAAAATATGAAGTAACTTTAGGAGTGATTTAGATTATTATCTGGACAATTAATTATATTAATAAATGCGTTACTAGAAGATATTGTACGATACAACTGGGAATAATATTGTTTTCAGTTCCTTTATGGAACATTGATCAGAATTTTGTGACCATGTACCGCGTGTTGCTAAATTCACCAAACTGTTACACCGCCACGGATGCGATGATTAAAATTCACTAATGTCAATGCCAAACCACAGTTTGTCAAATCCTGGTTAATTTAGCAACACTGCTTGTTCTACCATTCCACCACGGTGCCTACACCAGCTGAATTTAGCCACACGCGGAAATTCATAAACTATTATTTAATATCCAGAGTATTCTCACAAATTACAATGGTACTTAATTTTTGGATAATTTAAATGTTTGAGAACAAATCACATGTTAATGGCCACAACTATAATTCTTCAGGGTAAACATTGCAACTTGCAACTGCACACGTTTATCCAGGAGTTCAAACCAGCCCGCTATAGAGAAACCGACTCTCAAGGCTGCTCCTTTGTACTGAAGAAAGAATTAAGGTTGTTATCCCTGGCCTTTAAGGATGCCACCAGGAAAATTAAATCTTTTGTCAAAATTGGCATTGAAAATTGGTTGAAAACTGTTGACAATCTGGTTGACATCGGTTGACTTCGGTTGACATCATTCTCTGACATCATTGCACTTCTGTCTCATCGTTTCGTCGGGCAGTTTATTTTTAGATTAGTAGATCCATGGCGCCATGACATGCTCATCCTCGATAAGAAACACACAAGTTCCAAATCAAAATTTTACTTCCAAATTGCAGATTTTGTGGAAGTTGTGAAGGTAACATTTTTGTGGTAATCTTGTCAATATTTATTTGCTAATCAGACATATCCATACCATGGTCCAGTGATTTTCTGTTCACGGCAATAGCAATCCATTTTTGTTTAGTAAGTAGGTTCATGTCCAGTTAGAGACAAATAGATCTACTTGGTCTAGACTGGAAAATTTGTTTATGAGTCAACAGATTAACAATATTGGAAAGCAAAAGAAAGAAACCGTACTACATAATATTATAGAATTGTACAAAAAAAAAATTGTAAAAGGCTTTATTCAACCAAAATTAACAAATTTTCTATGAAAATATTTTTTTTTATAAAGATGTTTTTATATCAATTAAGTAGCAGATAATAAGTGTCATTTACATCCACTTAACTTAACGTACGGAAAATTATTAATAGAGAAAAGTTGAAGATCATGTACTTATATGTATGGTTGAACCAAATCCAAGCGGCAGTAAATGACAAACTGGTCATTTTCATTACAACCTATCAAATATCCTTCGTGCATGCGCACTAGTCCAGGTAGGGCGTTTCAACCAATAGAAAGGCTGGTGTTTGTTTACAATTTTGGTTATTCAAATGACATTTACTGCCGCTTGGATTTGAAAATGATGTAGTTGTTTACATCCACTTAAAAATTAAGAAAATTACCGTAACACAAGGAAAAGTTGAACCAACTTTAACTTAAAGGAGGTGTGACCCAAAAATGAAAGTTTTAGTGCAAAAAAAATCTAAGAATAAATATTTGAAACCGTATCTTGTTACGATGGTC